AAACAAAGGGAGAATCTGGGAGATTTGGGGAGACAGAAGCAGGAAGGAGAAGTATGAAGGAGCAGGATCCAAGAGGAGGATGAGGGGGATTGGGGAAGGAAGATCCGGAGGAGGAAGAGAATGGGGATGGGAATGCAATAAACTGCAATTGATACCAACTAGCCTAGTCCTCATTCCCTCCTTCATCCACCATCACCATCGGCCTCCCTGGGGTGGGGGAAGCTGTGTGAGAACACCAAACACAGGTGGCAAGAGAGAAAGCCGCCACAGGGTCTTTTATGATTGATTTTTAATACACAAAAATTAATTATTGGAAAAAATACAACTTTGGGATTCTTTAACATATATAGAATTTTGGAACTGTAGTGATGGTTCAGTGAGTGGGGCATTTGCTTTGCATGTGGCTGAGCCAGATTCAATCCCCAGCATCCCATATGCCAAGGATGATTCCTGAGTTCAGAGCAAGGACCAAAACCCAAGCACTGTCAGGTATGGCCCAAAAGCAAAAACTAAAATAATGGTATCAGTTTCAAATACATTGGAACATGGTTAGCATTAGGTATAAAAACTGACTCCAGGCTAGTTATATGACTGCGTGAATGATCCCATATTCATGATGATAATTCACTGCTGTTAGGGAAATACAGACTCAAAAGTGCAACAGGGCATACAATCAATTATTTTACTAAGGAATTCCCTGATGGAAAACATTTTGCAAGACTGACTTATTTGGTAAATGATTTTTGTCCAAAATCAAGCTAAATTCTAGCTCAAGCTGCCCTATAGTGATTAGATTTCAAAGTATTGAAAACTGATTTTCCAATGGTATCATATGCATTAATATTGACTTTTGAGTTTCACCTCGGCAAATTTGCTGCTTTACTGTGAAGGGCATTCCCCAAATGGCATTCGTTACAAAAATAGATTTCCAGTCAACATAAAGACTATTGTAAGAGAATTTTGGGATGGCAGTATTCCAATCCACCACTGTCAACAGGGGCTAGGGTATTTGGCTTCTTCACCTTATCACTTTTTCATTTAATTTTCCTTCCATGAGAGAGTTGAGGGTTATGGAGATTGTTGGCCATATGGTTAAAGCATCTTTCAGATTCTGGCCTCAATATTTATCTCTCTGTATTCTGTATGTTTCTAGTAGTACTTTACTTCATTTTATTGTTGAGTTATATTCAAGTGCTCAGTCCTAGGCAAAACATATACAAAGTATAAATAGTGACAGAAGACCTGAACTCAACCAGCATACTCTGGTCCCTGTGAAAATGTGTCTACTTCCTTCCATATGACAAGATGCCACTGAACACTGACAGCTGAGCTCTATGCTGTCTCAGAAGCTGCTTTGTAGTTCGTAAGCCTCAATCCTGCATCAAGCTTAGGAAGGAGCACACACCATGAAGACAACCACAAAAGCAAGACGATTGCAAAGACTCCTTTCCCACGGACCTTGATGGCATGAATTCTAATCCTTTAGAGAGCTCTAGTATAAACCTTCATTTAAGAGGCAGATGACACATTCTATTGGTTGACATTTATCAGAAACTCTGGGGAAGAATATTAGAGGAAACTGTCAGAAAATGACAGAGTCATAGTTTAGTCTCTGGCTGAATGAAAAAGACACAGTGGTGAGCCGGACCTGACCTTATCCTGTCCATCTTTTCTCTCCTTCTCCCTCTGCCACTGTTAGATGAATGGGAGCAAAACAGAACTGAGAGCAGACATAATCAGAACACAGCCCTGGGGAGCTGTTGTGGGGATCATAGCCCCATCCTGTGATAGCACATGGGAGCCACAGAAGTTGATGTATCCAAGTAAAGGTTCTGCATGCACTCTGAAGTTTCCCAGAACTTCCCTGGATTAAAGTCACCCCAACAGCCACACCTCTGAGAATTTACACAGGATTACATATTAGGAAAAGGCAGAGTCATTTTTAATAAGGTTTGTTTTTAAGTTCATGTCTTTTCTGTTTAAGTAATCCCAGGGAATCAATGGCAGATTCGATACACAGACACACACACACACACACACACACACACACACACAAGAGCAATGTTGTATATTGAGTTATCAGCTTACACTAGTGAGAGCCTGGCATACATCACCAAGATTGAAAACAACCAGTGTTGGTGGGGATGCATGAAAAAAAGGAAAACTCATCCACTGCTGGTGTGAATAAAGATGGGTTTAGCCATTTTGGCAATTTATATAGGTCTTCTAAAATAATATAGGTCTTCCAAAAAAAATCAATCTCCCAGATAAACTAGCAACTCCACTTCTTCACATTTACCCTAAAGTCCCCAAAACTCTTCAGTACAGACATTTCATTGTGGCACTATTTACAGTAGCCAAAATGTGGAAACAGTACAAGTGTACATGAATAGATGACTGCATTAAGAAATCATGATACATACACACAATGGAATATTTTATCTTTTAAGCTATAAGAAAAGACAAAATCATGCAATTTGGGGCTACATAGAAGAGACTGGAAAATATCAGACAGACTGAAGTTAGTAAGAAGGAAAGGGAAAGACACAGAATGATGTCCCTTATATGTGGTATATAAAGTAACACTTGGGCGGAGCAACAGTGCAACAGGCAGGGATGTCCAAAGCCGGGTTCAATTTTTAGCACTACAGATGATCCCCCTAGCCCTACCAGGAATGATCCTGAGTACAACACCAGGAGTAAATCTTGAGCACTACCAAATGTGGAGAACTTTTCTAAATTGAAAAGAAATAAAATAAAGTAGTAAAGAAACAACAAATACTCCAAGGCAGCAAAAATCTAGAACTGATCTTCAGTAGAAATCATATCACTGTAGTGAGGATGCGGAGATAGGGGAGGTATGGGAGAGTGGCATAGGGCCATGGTGGAGAGAGGCTGACACTGGTGGAGGATCTGATAGAACATTTTTTCTTTGTTTTGTTTCTAATGAAAGTTTGTCATTACAATATTGTACATCAGTGTGCCTAAAGTAAAATTTAAAATATGAAGGCAATTTTTCAGTGTAAATAATATCACAGAATGAAATGCTAAAGTTGAGCTTACAATCTGAGAAAACACTGTCTCGTTTTTCCTGAAATTTTACCAAACCAATATTCTGAAAACTAAAAGCAATGTGCCACAGTGAAAAGAAGGTAGTTAAGTTTTTTTTTTAAAGTATTCTAAGTAAGAAAGGAGGAGGAACTTTCATGGGAGTCACTGTCCTCCCGTTGTTCATCGATTTGCTCTAGCGGGCCCAGGAACATTGTGAAAGTTGTTACTGTGTTTGGCATATCGAATACGTCATGGGTAGCTTGCCAGGCATTGCCTTGCGGGCACGATACTCCTGGTAGCTTGCTGGGAATTGAATTGGTTTGGCCATGTGGGCCACATGCAAGACAAATGCCCTACCTGCTGTGCTATCGCTCCAGCCCATATATGTATATGAATCTCCCAGTAGAGCCATCTAAAGGTACCAGGGAAAGGAGTATCAACTGGTTCCTCAAATCTAATCGGCTCTGCAAGCTTGACTGAACCCAAAAAGGGAACAATAATTGATTTCCACAATGATGATCCTGAGTCATCAAGAAAAGGTTACATTTTATGTTCAGAAATCTCTGTTTAAGGAGGCAAGGAAGCATGTAATCAATTTGAGAAAGATTTTCATTTCAAATGGTTAAAAACTCTTTGAAATGATTTTTGGTGTTTAAAGAGATGTGACAGTTATCTGGAAAATTCACTTATGTGGAACCATGTCTTCCCTGAAGATTTTAGATCTATGAAACTGTGTGTATATTTAGTTAGACTCTTATGGCTTCTCCTCTGTTGATACTTCATTGTCTACTTTTATTAAATCTTTCAAAATTTCTGACTTTCAAGTACCAAATTGCACTTTTCTTGAAGTAAACGATTCTCACAATTTTTCTTGGACATTCCAGACTTCTGTATCTCTCAGTCACCTTTGCTTTTTTGAACATTACTGATAGTCACAGAAAAGGCAACGAATCAGAGCATGCAAACTTTGAGGAGGCCTTCCTGACGATTCCCAGAACTCTTCAGGATTTTGCATAACACTCTGAGAACCTCCTTTAGCAAGCCCGGTAATAACTGTTCATGATAATAGTAACCATACCAGGACCAGAGCATTGGTACAGCAGGTAGGGTGCTTGCCCTGCCTAAAGTAATCCTGGAACACAGAAACATAAAGTAATACCTATTTGCCAGAGTTTGCACCCCCCCTAAAAATTAACTACTATCATAACAAATAATAGAGATATTTTCTACCAAATATGAACTTCTTTTGAAAAATAATTTCATCAAAGTTTTCACTTTCCAAGTAGCCTTGCTATTGGAAACACGATTTGTTCCTTATTTCTTTACTAATTTCTTTGTCTAATATTGGAGCGATAGCACAGTGGGTAGGGCATTTCCTTACAAGTGGTCAATATGCCAACCTGAGTTCGATTCCTCCGCCCCTCTTGGAGAGCCCGGCAAGCTGCTGAGAGTATCTCGTCCACACGGCAAAGCCTGGCAAGCTACCCGTGATGTATTTCATATGCCAAACACAGTAACAAGGGTCACAATGAAGATGTTACTGGGCCTGCTTGAGCAATATTGTTCCCTGTATATTTTTTGTGTCAGACATGTCACACTGTTCTAGGTTGAGTGTGCTAAGATCCTTACTGTGAAAATTTTCTTTTCTGACTATTATAATGGTATATGTTGCCATCATTTACTTTTTGAAAACTAGGCAAAATGTGTGAGGTTACATAATTCTAAGTTAGATCCTGGATATCAGAGCAGAACTAGTTCATTGTTAGTCCTTGATAGGCTACCTTTATCTCCTCTGCATAGTGAACAACTATAACTGCTGTGACGCTTCACTTTTCTTGGAAGCTTCCCTTTCCTTGATACACTGAGTTTGGAGGACAGGTAAAACCATCAGATCTGGGAGACATCGTATGTGGCATGTGCAGAATGAAATATTCAGAGTTGAGCCTTACCTGGAGTGTTGAGCAGGCGGGACCTCCTGCAGTGATAGGCTACCTCTTGTTCACAATGTTCTGAGCCCTCAATCAGAGCCTCCAGTTGATCCATGCTGCTACCATAGTCCAAAGCCATCGTGTACGGTTTCTCAGGGTTGGCACCCTGCACACGGGTCAGCTCTGTGATATTATGCTGCACAGATGTCCAGATCTTATCCTCTGCCCAAACAACACATACATGGAAAAAGAAAATAGAAGGAAGGTCAAAAGAGGATCATGCAAACAGTGTGAGGGGTAGCTAATCATGAAATAGTTCATTGTTATCTGAGAGCTCTTTTGAAAAATGTTGGACCAAAAAAAATCTGTTCTTCATAGAGCACTATCTAGATTTAGAAGGGGCTAACAGTATAAAGAATTGTATACAGGGAACCCTTCCTCCACAGCTAAGCATCTAGTACCATTTACTTCACTCCTGTCACAAATTGTCATCTCAAAAATGAGAAAAAAGTGAGTGACAAGAATTTATAACCTTATTTCTCAATAGTTGGCAGAGTCTGGCAAACTCCCCGTGGCGTACCCAATATGCCAAATACCAGTAACAATGATGGGTCTCATTCTCCTAAAGATCCTTGAATATAATCTCAGGGCTAGGATGAAGGAGGCATTACTGGGGCCTGCTCGAGGTAATCGACGAATAACAGGATGATTTGTGATTTGTGATTTCTCAATAGTAATAGGCTTAGCTAAAATTTGAACATTGGATATTTGATTTCAAAGCTCATACTTCCAACCATTATATTCCTCCCTCACAGTCATAGTTGAATAAATGAGGAAAATCATACTAAGTGAAAAAAAAAAGATACTCGCATCACTATCAAACAATAACAAGGTGCAAACATACTGAATGTAATCTCTATTCTTAATTAGTACTACTAAATTGCAGGGTCATCATGTTGAAATGCTTCAAGTGTTAAAGAAATCTTGAAATTTTTCAAAAGGATAAATACTAGCACAGATGTCAGAAAATCCAAATTACTATGCTGAAAACAAGAGCTACATGCTTAAAATATCTGCCGACACATGTATTAACACGGCTGAGATTGTATGATCCACACTATTTATTCAAGATACTTACTGCAACATTTTGCTGTTTAGTTTTCATGGTATTACATTAGCAAAAAGGAAAAAAAGGAAAAAAAAGAAGTCTGAACAGGATTTTAGTGACATAGAGCGACTAAAACCTTTAAATTGGTGTAGTAGAATATAGGAGAGAATGGAAGGTCAGTGATGAAGAATATGAGTTTAAGAGAGAGAGAGAGAGAGAGAGAGAGAGAGAGAGAGAGAGAGAGCGCACTGTTTTTCCTTCTTTTGGCTTATTTTTTCTTAATTGGTTTTGGAGCCACCCAGTGGTGCTCAAAAATTATTTTAAGAGGTGATAAGGGATGATGAGATGTTGGATTTGAACCCAGACTTCCTGCATGTGTACAGCCCATTGAATGATTGATTGAAAAAGAGAGGGGCAGTACTTAAAACCTATTTCAGTCAACAACAAGCTTAAACAAGTCACTTCAGTTTTCTGTGGCTTAATTTTATCATGAGTTAAAAAGGAAAAAAAAACAACAATAACAAAAACAGCACGTGTTTAGCTCTGAAGCAGTTTTATTAATTTGAAATACCTACCAAAGCTTGAAATTGCAAGGCATTATCTAGGATATATCAGACATTCTGTACCAACAACTTAGCTAAAATATTTACTGCAATCGGACCTCCTATTTAATTCTGAACTATTCACAAGTAAAGCAAAAGAGGAAATAGAAAGACACGAAATACTTCTGTCACTTAAGTATACAGCCCACATAATATCATCAGTCTTGATACATTCTTAGAGCTGACAAATTACTTAGAATACAATGTATATGGTTTCCTTCCTCCCTCATATCCAAAGTTTTATAAATGAAGAAAACCATATAAGGGGAGTAAAAAAATGACCTCCCACACCACTAGTAAACAATAATGGGGTTCACTGATACTGAATGTAACCTCTATTCTTTGTTAGTTCTACTAAATGGCAGTTCTACTAATCATGACTTTTGGCATGATTCACCCGTGGAAAAAAAACAGGCTTTCCCAATCTCAGATTTTAAGAATTTGTCTACCACAAACTCTGTAAGAATTGAAATAAGTAAATTCATTCCATTGCAATTCAGTTTTTATATATTAAAAGGAGAAAAAACAAAGACTCTGGTTTTAATTATTTCTAAAGTATTTTCCAATACTAAAAATAGAGAAATATTTCTTACAACATAAAATTAAACTCTACTCAAACATTCTGATTCATCTGAAGACTATGTACCAAAACCCACACTGCCAATGTTTAATTGAAAGAGAATTGCATTTTCTTTAAAGTCTAAAAAAATCAAAAGGAAGGTTATTGGATTTTTACTTTGAAAGCAAAAACAGGATATATTTAATATTGGTTAAAAAAAGGTATAATGTTACAACGTAATTAGCTCAAAACTTCAAATATATTAGTGCATTAAAATCAAATGGTAATAAAATAATCAAGGAAAAATAATTGGTCAATAGTATGAAGCTGTAGAAGGGGAAATAAGGAATAATGCTTTTGAAATGCCTGCAATGCTTTAAAGAAAAAAAGGAAGACTCAACCTAATCTGAAGTACGGTATCACTTCCTACTGGTACATTTTACAGAGCATCTCCAGTAATCATTGACATTCCATGCTGGTAAGCATCAACGTGTAAATATCATGCATCGAGATAGATAGATAGATAGATAGATAGATAGATAGATAGATAGAAAGATGAAGCTCAGTGAAGAGTACTTGCTTCCAGGATCTTTGTGTCCTAGACTGGACACAATTCTATTGTAAAAGTGGAGCACATGCTATTATAAAATTATAATTATAAAAGTACATGATATCATAAAATTATATAAATTTGAATTTCTCTCAAGCATTGGAATATTTCCTATAAAATATGCATCAATTGTTGCTACATGCATCATCTAATTTTTTAAATTTACTCATGAGCACATATTCTGTTAAAAGCACATTACATCTTTGACAGGACAGGTGGGAAAGCTCTACCAGGAAGGAAGCATTTTATTTGAAAGATTCTTATATCATCTTCCACCCGACCTTCTGTATTAGGACAAACTAAAGTTTTAATAACTCCTCTATCAGTGTTATTTAATAAATATGAAAGAACAAAAGGAATAATTAAGATTACCAAACTACTCTCCACAGCACACTTAACAAAATATCATTGGGCCTTGCTGCAAATGTAATATGATGGAGAGGCAGGAAGATGATTACTTAAAACCTACTCCTTTTTACCTGGGTTCATTTAAAAGATGTTCTTAAAACTGTGATTATTTTTTTCTCTTGTGAGACAGTATATAAAAATTGAAAACTAGAATGTAATTGGATATTTTTTTATTCTCACCTTCCATTTTTTCCCTCAACTTCAGGATAGTAGTGTAAATTAAAACCTAAACCCTTAAAAAAGTAATAAAAGGTGAGTAGTAAACGCCATACATAATCACTTTCAATCATCAATGTTGTTCCTGATGCCTAGTCTTGAATGCAGACAGGTGATTATAGTTATGCATGTAACATATGTAAGTTAAGGTTATAAAGTACTTTTTAATATGTAATAATTATTTTGAACAATGAAGGGAGAATCTATTTATGGACAAATGCATGCAGTAACTAAAAATTAGACCCATAAACCCAAATGTTTAAGATTATTAATTAGTGAGCAATATAGATTGTTGGGGAAAGTTCAAGTCCTAACATTTGGCTGGCCTATAATTATTTCATGACATTTGTTAGATTATTATATCCTGAAAGCTTTTTTTTTTTACTATTTGAAAATCATAAGCATTCCAACTGTTAAGGATAAATAGAAAAATGAAAAATGAACCACAGTGATTTTGTGAGTTTTCTAACTTTAAAAAGTATATATTGATATAAGTATATATATATGTATACATATATAAAATATATATTTAGGGGGCCTGAGAGACAGTACAACAGGCTTGACACTTGCCTTGCACGTGACTGACTCAGGTTCAATCCTTGGCACACCAAAGAGTTACCCAAGAATGACCAGAAGAAATTTCTGAGTGCAAAGCCAGGAGTATCTCAAATTGTATGAAAATCTTTGCATCCCTATTATATAGAAGAAAATATATTATCTTTGTTTTAAGGACATCGCTGTCACTATCCTCCTGTTGTTCATCGATTTGCTCGAGCAAGCCCGGTAACATTATGAGACTTGTTACTGTGTTTGGCATATCGGATACGTCACGGGGAGCTTGCCAGGCTTTGCTTTGCAGGTAGATACTCTTGGTAGCTTGCCAGACTCTCAGAGAGGGGCGGAGAAATTGAACTCGGGTCAGCTGACTAGCCGCGTGCAAGGCAAACGCCCTACCCGCCATGCTATCACTCACAAATATCAGATATTATGATTGGTATTAAAAAAAGAGGCTGTGATTGACCCTTGGTCAACTGATAACCAGACAATTTGTTTAGATTACAAATAAACAAATAAATAAATAAATTATGTGCCTGACAACGTGCTAGATTCCAGAAAGTACACAGTATGATAAAGGTTTGTCTCCCCTACTACAAGCAAACCATCATTTGGGGGGAAAGAACATAAGAACAACAAATGTCCCTTTCTATTATGAATGCTCAAGATTACAAGTGGGGCTGTCCAGAGACATGCTGGGAAATAAAGGTGGGCAAGGTAGGAAAGTCTTACAGAAACTGTCAAAGGGAAAATGTTCACTTTTTCTTATGAATGGGTGGGCCAATGAAATCTTACATGCTCAGACCACCAGAGATTAGACTAGTATTGAGTAATTTAAAAGAATCCAGGAAATCTTTATCAAATGAGATTAGCTAAACAACCATCATTTATATTCTTTCAGGGTCTTTGCTCCAGTATTTTTAATGCGCCCCTATATGCGTGTGTGTATAGTGTGTGTGTGAGTGTGTGTACATTCATGTATATGTACATGTACATATATCTATATGTACATATAGATATATGTACATATACATATATATCTATATATACATATCTGTCTATGGGGTCACACCCACCAACTGACCCCCTGGCGCCGTGTAATCCCATCAACGGCCAAGACTCAGAGACTATAAAACCCAGCTCCTGGAAGCAACATCCCAACAT